GGTGATGCACTCTCTGTCCTGCCCCCACCCCCTCACTCCCACTTAGATGAACTCTTCTCTCCTCCTCCCCGCTCTGTGATGCTGTCAGAGTCTCTCTGTGTCTCTGTCCCCCTCCCTTAGAATGAACTCTTCTCCCAGCTCTGTGATGTTCTGTCCCCCACCTTAGAATGAACTCTTCTCTCCTCCTCCTGGCTCTGAGACACTCTCTGTACCCCCATCTTAAAATGAACTCTTCTCCCAGCTCTGTGATGCTCTGTCCCCCTCTTAGAATGAACTCTTCTTCTAGCTCCGTGATGCTGTCCCACCCTTACCCCCTTAGAATGAACTCTTCTCTCCTCCCAGCTGTGATGCTCTCTCTGTCCCCCAACCACCTTTAGAATGAACTCTTCTCTCCTCCTCCCAGCTCTGCGACGCTGCACCCCACCCCCACCTTTAGAATGAACTGTCCTCCCTGTCCTGAGGATGCTGTTACCCACCTTGCTCGCTGCAGAGACCACACGAGACAGGGTCACCTGTCTGCAGTCTGCACGTGTGTCCCTCCCTAACCCCAGCCCTCAGTCACCTCTCCCACCCGTGCCCGGTCCAGGTCTGACATGTAGGTGACTGTGGAATGAATGAATGGACACAGGCAGGTACAGGCAAGAGTGGTGAGCCGAGCCTGCGAGGCATGACTGCAGAAGCCTCCGCCAGTGTAGCCGCAGCCAGCGTCACACTGTCCCTGTGGGGTGGAGGGGCCGCCCCACTCCGGACTCCACAGGTCCTTTCTCTCATTCCTGGCCCTGCTGGATGCAGCGACGGTGGGTCGGACGAGCTGCTCTGGGTTAATTGGCTCTCTCTTCCTGCCAGCATGATGGATCCTGCTTGACATTTCCCCAGATAGTTACTTGATAACCAAGTAATTTGTCATGGAGACCTCGTTATATGCCAACTGGGTCCCCTAAGCCGTTAGCGTCTGTGCCCCAGAAACAAGATTGGCAAGTTAATAATGGAGCCTTAATCACGCTGTTCCCTGCTGGCACTGGAATAGAATTACCTGGAGACAAGATGGGACGCTGTTGCTCTCCTTGGGCCTTGGAGATGAAGCTTCATGAGAGATCCTGAAGCCACTGACCCTTCTTGAGAGGGTCCCCTGACCTCGGTGTTCTCAACCAGGTGTTCCTTCTCCTGGCAAGAATGCCATTCTGCTGAGAAGTCCCCCTCTACAAGGTGCTCTGAGGCTGGTTCAGGCTCTAGCTCTGCACTGGGCACTTGCCCCCCCCGGCCCCAGGCCACACTGAGGGGTTCAGGGGAAGACATGACTCAAGCCTGGCCAGCCAACAAGTGTCAGTCTCAGGCCTTGGTTGGGGCCGCTGGGGCCGCTGGGACAGCAGGGCTCACTCTGCCGAGGATTGTTATGTGGGTGAGGAAGCAAGGTTGGGCTGATGAGGGAGCAGCCTCCCGGAGAGGAAGGGAGCCAGGGCCAGGCTGTGCAGGGCAGTGCTGCCTCCTGGAGTGAACTAACGAGGTCCCAGCTTTGCTTAAGTTGGTTTTTGTCACATGTAACCTGGAGAGTTCTGATTATACACAAGAGATCGCCACTCAGACATCCACCTGCTGCAACTCCAGGATTCAAGCTGTCTGCCGGGGCTACATGGAGGAGCCCCCTGGGGAGGAAGACCACGTGGTACAGAGAGGCAAGGCCTGGGAGAGACGGCCTGGGCTGGGACGAGGGCTGGGATCGGCAATCTTGAGGAGGGCCTGGGGTCTGCTCCCCAGGTGGTCTTGGGCAGGAATGGAGGGGAAGCCTGGTGGAAGCTGAAGAGGAGTGAGGCTGGAGGAGAGGCTCCGGCCCCAGCCTTGACTTCAGCACCAAGGACAGCAGCAGCGCAGCCCCCTACAGTGAGGCGGGCCCGGCGCAGCCCCCTACCGTGAGGCGGGCCTGGCGCAGCCTGGCCTGGATGTTTTTAATTTTAAAAATCTTTTATTTAAAAGTAAATAGGGATGGAGATGGGGTTTCACTATGTTGTCAAGTTGGTCTCGAACTACTGGGCTCAAGCAATTCTCCCGCCTCAGCCTCCCAAAGTGTCGGGATTACAGGCGTGAGCCACTGTGCCCAGATGGGCTGGATGTCTTTAATGAACCAAAAGGAGGTTTATACTTCCATGGCAGGGTTTGGGATAAATAAGTAATGGGTACACAGAATATCCACCCAATCCCCTAAATGAGGCAGTTATTAAGTCCAGGAAAAATAAGAGGTTGTACAAGAAAGGAAATGTAATTACAATACATTACTCAGCTGGGAAGAGTGTATGCTGAGAAATAATAGTGCATACATTGAATTCTGATTCAATCAAAAGGAGAAGCTGGTGGGAGAGTGTGGGGGGGCATGTGTGAGAGAACAAGCCTTCAGCCGCCATCGTGGGAAGGACATGGGTAAATTTCTCAATCTGAAAAGGAGAAAAAAAAAAAAAAAAAGCAGCAGCAGCAGGAACATGAGCATGGCTATTCAGAAGTAAATACCAAAAAAAATCAGCTACAATCACATAAAAGTTTGCCTCTGAGAAGGGGGAATCAGGAAACAGGTGCTGGTTTTTCATCAGAAGCCTTGTATTGTTCGATTATTCAAACTGTCAATTTATGATGTTGATTAAAAGCATACATGAAATGTAGGCCAGGAGCGGTGGCTCACGTCTGTAATCCCAGCACTTTGGGAGGCTGAGGCAGGTGGATCATTGAGGTCAGGAGATCGAGAACAGCCTGGCCAACATGGTGAAACCCTGTCTCTACTAAAAATACAAAAATTAGCTGGGTGTGGTGGCGCGCCTGTAATCCAAGCTATTCAGGAGGTTGAGGGAGGAGAATCACTCGAACCCAGGAGGTAGACATTGCAGTGAGCCAAGATTGCGCCGCTGCACTCCAACCTCAGTGACAGAGCAAGACTCCATCTCAAACAACAAAAAATACATGAATGTAAGTAACTAAAAAACAAAACCAAAAATTCTCAAGCTGCTCCCTGCTCCCAGCTCTCTGTCAGGCCCACACAACTCCAGGGTAGGGCCCCGAGGCCTGTCCTGTCTTCCTGGATTCTGCACCTCCTCCCCTGGCCCTCTCGGCTCTCCTGTGCTCCCTTCATACTCCTCTCTGGGCTGCTCTGGGTCTATCTGCAGATCTGTCCTGGTCCTCCTCCCTCCTGCCTTAGCCTCCCTCCCACCTTGCCTGCCTCTTTCTGCACTTTACTCCCTTTTGGGTTCTGCCCATGGCAATCAGAGGGGAAGGGGTGCCTGTCCCTGGGGGAGGAGCCCAGCCCTATCTACAGGGCCTGTGGCACCCGCAATAGCTGTCAGCTGGCTGCTTTAGCCGCACCCGCAACTGGCCCCACACCAGCCGTCCATGGTGGTAGGACACCTCCTGCTTGCCGGGGAGGTGAATCGGGGATAGCAGGCGGCGCTCCATCATCTCCATGACACCTCGCCTAATTACACCGCGTGCTATTCATTTGGATGTCAGCGCTGCCGCATGGCTTTGCCCTTAATTAATAATTTGGTAAAACTCCACTCGGGGCCTGGCCAGGGAAGTTCAGCAGGGACTGTTAAGGCTGGGCTGCCGCCGGGGTTGGGGGCCAGGCTGGTGAGCACCTCCCCCACTAGCAAGTGTGGGCTCCCCCAAGCATTCCCAGGTAGCACCCCTCCACCCAGAGTTCCTGTTTGAAAGACCAGAGCCTGGGGGGTGACAGGGATGGGTGAGGGGTATCTGCAGCTTGGGCACTGTCCCTGGAGGAGAGGGTGACTCAGGCCTCAGGGCACCTGTCAGATACACCTTCCTGCCCCAAACACCATGGCTTATTCTAAAAGCATTGGCAATCCATCCCACTGATAAGGAAAGAGGCTCAGAGAGGTGAAGTGGCTTACCCAAGTACACACAGCACACAAGTACAGAGGCCTTGGTCTGGAACCCAGGGCCCTGGTTGCCTGTACACAGCCACTTCCACCAGGACAAGGAGCCCCAGGCCAGGCCCTTCAGGGACTCTTCCGCAGAGGAGGCAGGCACAGGCCCTGGGGTGGGCATGTACCAGCCACCGGGGTGTGAGGGGCAAGGCTGGCTCTCCTGGAGCCCATGCTGCCCTTGGCCCTGGAGGACAAGGTCCCCATGAGAGGTGCGTGGCTCAGGTCAGATGCTGTGCAAGGGGCCAAGATCCAGCTCAGATCCAGATTCAAACAGTCCAATGCCTGTGGCCAGAGTAGGGGTGGGGCTTGGGACAGCTAGGACCACCAGAGGGGCCCCTCCCTGGGGCCTGACCTTGGCCAGATCCTCAAGGACCACTCCAGTCCTGGTGTGTCTTCTGATCCTGAGTGCCATAGGAGAGGGGACGCAGGACCGGCTGGGGTCTCAGAGGCTCCAAAGGCCAGGCCATGCGATTCTTGGAGTGTCTCCCTCCCAGCCTCCAGGCAGGGTGGGGGCCTGGGAAAGGGACACAGAGGCCCACAAGTGAACAGGAAAATCTTTGGATCCGACTTGAATTATTAAGTGGTTCAAGAATATTCTTAGCTCTGAGAAGGCTGTGGTCTGTAGAGACGGACTTTACCATGGCCCTATTTTTAAAGTTCTGTGGGTAGGAGTCGAGACGCCACTGCACTTAGAGCCCCCCAGCACGCCCCTCTGCCTGCTGCCAGGGAGTAGGATGGGGACCGGGCAGGGGGGCACATGCCAACCCTGCAGACCCCCACCCTGCAGGGGAAGGGCGTGTGATGCAGGGACGGGAAATTGGGGTTCCCCCACGTCCAGGTCCACCCCTGCCCAGCCCCTGGCCCGTGAACCTGCTCCCCCAATTCTAGCCCCCCTTGACCCGCACACCCTGTTTCCCCTGCTTCAATTCCCTGCACTCTACTCCCCCAAACCTGCCCCCCTCCCCCAGAGCAGCCCTGGGGAAAGGGGCTGGGCCAGCTCAGGGCTGCCACTGTACATCCCCAAGGTGGGCTGGCATCTCAGCAAGCTGCTTTTGACTGAAGGAAAAAGAATCAAGCTTTTCAAGAATTCAAGTTAGTTTTATTCAGAGGTCTTACTGAGAATCCTAGACCCAGGCCCCAGCCCAGGAGCAGCCTTAGAGAGGTCCTGTCTGACTGCCCGGCTCAGTGTCTCGGCCCACTGCTTGGATGCGGGGGCCGGGGCTCACGACCTGCCAATTCCATCCAGCTGGCTCCGAAGTTACATGACAGCAGAATCACACCAAGGCTTGGGCGTAAGAGCACTTCTGGTTACAGATTACAGAAGCATAATCGCTAACCTCGGCCAACATTTTCTCACGTGCAGGAAGAGCCAAGGACCAGGGCCCTTCATCTTTTAAGGAATACAGTGACTCAGGCAAAAGACGCAGGGCCACGTGTTCTTTCCTGTTTTGTTTTCAAAGCGTCCCTCTGGAGAGCCGCAGTGTCACCGAGTCAGGGCTCACAGAAATGAGCACACACTTAGGGTTGCTGCTGACACACCCTGCCTCTCCTCACGCGGTTCACGTGGCCATCAGCCGGGGCTGAGGACCCCTGGCACGCACCTGCACCCCAAATGGACTACAGATGCCGCTTCCATTTCAACTGTCACCCCTTTAGGGTTCAGAGCTCCACACCCACTTAACCCCAAGCCAGTGGCAAAGCTTCCTGAGAGGCCGGGAACTGCCAGCCGTGAGTTCCACACCACCTCCGCCATCCTCCTGAGACCCTGCTCCCCCAAAGACAGGCCTTACTGAGGACTTGGTGGGGTGCTGGTCAGGAACTGCCCAGTCTTTGGGGAGGGGGTGCTGGCTGTCTGTGTGGCGAGAGCCTGGGAAAGGCATGCAGGCGGATGTGGTTGGAGCCCTGACTCTCTGAATCTTGGGCTTAGGTGAGTCCTCAGCAGGTGCCCTGCACTCCCGGTCCCCTTTCCCAGCCAGGTCACTGCTCAGCATCTGCATGGTCAAGGAGGACTCCCCCAAAACCATGCACAGCCAGACGGCCCAAGCTAAAAGAAGATGCCAGTGACTAAAAGCAGGAGTGAAGGCAGGGACGTTCTCAGAGACCTCACACACATCAAGAAAATCCCGTGAACAACAGTATGCCAACAGATTAGATAACATGGACGAAATGGAAAAATTCCTAGAAACACACAAGCTAGCAACTGACTCAAGGATAGACAATCCGAACAATCTATAACAAATACATAGACTGACTCAGAATCAAAACTCTCCCAAAGACCTGAGACCAGATAGGCTGACTGGCAAATTCTACCAAAGGTTCTAACAAGAATTAACACCAATCTCTCTCTTCTAAAAAAACAGAGGAGGGAACACTTCCTAACCCAATCTATGAGGCTAATATTATCCTGATATCAAAACCAGAGGAAGACATCATAAGAAAACGACAGACCAATATCCCTTATAAATACAGATGTAAAAATCCGCACCAAAATACAAGTAAATCACATTCAATAGCAGAGTCAATGGATTATACACCATGACCGAGTTGGATATATTCTAGAAACGGAAACTGGCTCAACATATGAAAATCAATCAATGTAACACCTCACACTAACAGAAGAATACAGGATCTTTTCAACAGAGGCCAGAAAAGCATTTGACAAAATCCAGTACCCTTTAAGTATAAAAACACTTCATGAATTAGAACTAGAAGGGGACGTCTTCAGCTGGATAAAGAGCATCCTTGAAAATCTAACAGCTCACATCATATATAGTGAAAGACTGAAAACTTTTCCTTAAGATCAGGAACAAGACAAAGATATGTGCTCTCACCACTGTGTTCAACAAAGTGCTAGAGATTCCAGCCAGAGCAATTAGGCAAGAAAAAGAAAGAAAAGGCATTCAGATTGGAAAGCAGGAAGTAAAAATAGGCCAGGCACGGTGGCTCACGCCTGTAATCTCAGCAGTTTTGGAGGCCGAGGTAGGAAGAAAGCTTGAGCCCAGGAGTTGGAGACCAGCCTGGGTAACATGGTGAGACCCTGTCTTCACAAAAAAATCTTTAAAAATTAGGCCAGGTGCGGGGACTCACGCCTGTAATCTCACCACTTTGGGAGGCTGAGGCGGGTGGATCACGAGGTCAGGAGATTGAGACCATCCTGGCTAACCCAGTGAAACCCCGTCTCTACTGAAAAAACAAAACAAAACAAAACAAAAAATTAGCCAGGCGTGGTGGTGGGTGTCTGTAGTTCCAGCTACTCGGGAGGCTGAGGCAGGAGAATGGTGTGAACCTGGGAGGTGGAGCTTGCAGTAAGCCGAGATCGTGCCACTGCACTCCAGCCTGGGCGACAGAGCAAGACTCCGTCTCAAAAAAAATAATTAGCCAGGCATGGTGGCGCATGCTTGTAGTCCCAGCTACTCTGGAGGCTGAGCCAGGAGGATTACTTGAGCCCACGAGGTCGAGGTTGCAGTGAGCTGTAATCACGCCCCTGCACTCACTCCAGCCTTGGCAACAGAGCAAGAACCTGTCTCAACAACAACAAAGCAAAATGGTCTGGGACAACTGGCTACTCACAGGTATGACATAGGACCTGCTCCCTCACACCATACACAAATTCAAGTCAAAATGGATCAAAGACGTAAAGGTAAGCACTAAAACTATACCTGTCTTAGAAGGAAATGTAGGTGTAAATCTTCATGGCCCTGAATTAGTCAATGGCTTCTTAAATATAACATCAAAAGCATAAGCAACAAAAGAGATTAATGGACTTCATCAAATTTAAAAACTTTCATGCATCAAAGGACACTATCAAGAAAATGATGACAACCCACAGGAGAAAGTATTTGTAAACTACAGAAGTGAGCAATATCTAGGATTCAGAACATATAAAGAACTTCTGCAACTCAAGATGACAACCCAATTTTAAAAATGGGCAAAGGATTTGAATAGATGCTTTGCTCATGAGGATATACAAATGGTGACTAAGACATGAGAAGGCGCTCACTCTCGTGAGCTATTAGGAAATGCAAATCAAGCGCACAATGAAATACCACATTTTTATTTTATTTTAGTTTTTTTTTTTTTGGAGACAGGGTCTCATTGTCACCCAGGCTGGAATGCAGTGGCGCAACCACGGTTCACTGCAACCTCGACCTGCTGGGCTTCAGTGATTCTCCCACCTCAACCTCCCGAGTAGCTGTGATTATAGAAGTGCATCACCATGCCTGGTTAATTTTTTAGTTTTCTGTAGAGATGAGGTCTCACTATGTTGCCCAGCCTGGTCTCAAACCTCAAACTCCTAGGCTTAAGTGATCCTCCTGTCACAGCCTTCCAAAGTGCTGGGATTACAGGCATGAACCACTGTGCCCAGCCGAAATACCAGCTTCTACTCCATGGAATGGCTAGAATCTAAATGGCAGATAATAGCAAGTGGTGGCGAGGGTGTGGAGAACCTGGAACCCTTGGGCATTGCTGGTGGGAATGTGAACTGATGGAGCTGCTACGGAAAAGTCTGGCAGTTTCTCAGAAAGGTAAACACAGGGTTTTTCTGGGTAGACCCAGAAATTCTACTCCTAAGTATATACCCAAGGCAGCTGAATACATGTTTACACAAAAGCTCGTACATCAGTCTTCCCTGAAGCATTATTCACAACAGCTCTGAATGGAAAAAACCCAAATATCCACCAAGTTCAACAAAATGTTTATCCCGATCCATACGATGGAATATGACTCAGCCATAAAGAAGAACGAGGTTCTGACACCTGGCACAAGACACAGGCGCATCTTGAAAACATTAGGCCGAGAGAAGGCCCCCATCGCCAGCATCGGCTCTGTCCACTCTTTGCCTGAGGAGCCCCGTTTTTCCAAGGACCATGCAGTGGTCTCACCTATGCCTCAGTGGGCCTGGGGGCCAGCATGAGGGTCCCCAAAGCGATGCCTAAGCCCTGGACTCATGGGCAATGACGCAGGACCTCGGATTCCGTCCCCCAACCTGGGCGGCGTGCCCCAGGACCACGGCTGTGCTCGGGTGGTGTTACCCCCGGGAGAACCCTGCCCGGCCTGCTGGTGCCGGTGACATTCAGAGATTTTAGGGGGACACCTCTGGAGGCTGTCCACGGCCCTGCTCTCCCTCCCATCCAGACAGGACTCCACGGGGGTGCTGGGAGGCAGATCCTTGCCAAAGATGCTAGGTGGGCAGACGCCCTCCCCTCCGACCACTGATGCCTCGTTCCTGGGCCCAGCCTGGTGCTGGACTCCACCACCCCATGCCTCATTTATCAGGAGTGTACTGAGTGTCCACTGCTGGGCAAGAGACCTCACGCGTATCCCCACCTTTAAACCCCAACGCTTCTGAAGCAGGTGTTCACGTTCCCGGTGAGGAAACAGGTTCCAGGTGGACACAGCTGCGGCTCTCAACTCATCAGGTGCTGCCCTGGACTCTCCCAAGTGGACCTTCAGCGCCCACCAGACAGACACATCTAGACCGGTCTGGACCCCACGCGTGGCTGTCCCTGGGGCCCACATGGCTCCACGGCTGACACCTCTCAACTTGAGCTAGAGGTAGACAGGGTCCACACAACCTCAAAGCCGGCCTCGCCCGCTGTCAACTCCACCCCTCTCCCACCTCAAGGACTCTCTGGGGACACTCTCCCCACACTGGCCCAAGTTCCAAGGCCCTTCCTGTCTGTCTCCCTTCCCAAGGCAAGTGGAAAGGGAGAGCCGTGAGCCATCCCCATCCACTAGCTGCTGCCCCTTTTGGTGCGAAGGGCAGAGATCCCTCTGCCACGGTGAGAGGAGCCTCGGTCCACTGGTGGGGTCCTCAACGAAAGCTAGATCCCCGACAGGCCCAAGTGCCCAGGGCTGGGTGAGGCCAGTCCAGGTCCACTGACACCCTGAGGCATGGAGGGCCTGAGGGGCTGTGCTGGGGCTCCCTCTTGCCCCACACTGCTCATCTGGTCTGGCCAGCATTGCTGACGGACAGCAGCCAGAACAGGCCACCTAGTTCCCGCTCTCTCCTGTGCCCCCTGTGACTTCAGGCACAACACCAAGGTGCCCGCAGAGCCCCCAGTATCTGCACCTCCCAGCCCCACTTGTCCTGGAGTGGGTCTACTTCTTATAGAAATTTCTAGAATAGAGTCTGCTCCATCAAGGAAGGGCAGCTCCACAGCCTGGGCCTCTTTTCCGGAGCCTCCGTCCCTGCAGCCCAGCCCTCCAAAGCAGCTTTCGAGTGAGAGCAGGCGGGTGGGGCTGGCACTTCCAGGCCCTGAGTGCTGCTGCCTGTGCACCTGTCCCAGGCCCAGGCTCGCACTGCTCCTCAGGAACACCAGGACAGCACCGTCTCAGAGGGGCATGGCGGGGCGCCAGAGACCCGCCCTCGCTGGATTCTTGTCCCAAGCTGTCAAATCATGATCACCGGCCTCTTCTTGTAGAGCTCAGGTGAATGGCAGGAAAGGATTCCGGGAACTTCTTCATGCTCTGTGGCAGATTCCAGCGTCCTCAGCGAGCCTGGGGTCTGGAGGCCAGCCGGCATGTCAAGGGCTGGGGGGTGCTTGGGAGGCGCCCAGGGGCTGGGGCCGGGCTGCAGGTGGGCCGTCCCCTTTGCCCCCACTCCTCAGCTGGCACCTCTAGCCCACACCAAGAGGAGAGGAAGTGGCCAGACAGGGGCCCAGGGCTGCTTTCCCACAGTGGAGACAGTTTTGAGGCTGTGCCTCTGGGGCAAGGCAGGCAGGGACAGAGGACAGCGATAAACTCTCAGAGCCTGTGGGGGAAGGAGCCACCCCCTGATCCTAGCCCCGCCGGGCGCAGAACCTGGCACCCAACCCCTCAGGCACCAGTGACGCCCTGTCTGGCCTCCCACCCCGCAGCCCAGACTGTCTCTGTGTGCTGCCCCCACCCTCAGCCCCCTCTAGGCTGAGACGAGGCTCTCTGCTCCCTCTTCCCGGGGCAGGCTGGAGGATGGCCAGGACTGGGGTCAGGGGTCATGGCAGGCAGTGGGCGGGTGCTAAAGCCCAGCTACCCCAGCTAGGACCCCTCCCATGCCAGGGCAGAGATGGTTCAGTATGGCTGGGGCTGGGGACCTGCCTTAAAAATGAACCCTGATTCTGCGAGTAAACCTTACAGTAAAGAGATCAACAGAAATAAATAATCAAACAAACAAATAAGTAAAATAAAAAAATGAACCCTGAGAAGAAAAAAAAGAGCAAGCAAGTCCTATCTATCGAAAGGGGCGGGCAAAGCAGAGGCTGCAGGGCTCGCGCAGGCTGTAGCTCTGAGTCCCCTTTGTGGGCTCCAGGAAAGCGTCTCGTGCACTCTCAGGGTCTGGCACTTGCCCCCGTAGAGATCTGTCCTCTGAGCACCGTGACCACAGCTGAGCAGCCGATGACGGGGCGAAGAGGGGCTGTGGTCACCTCTACCCCACCTGGCACTGGGCTGTGCTGCGGCGTCCCCCAGGGGCGGTGCGGTCAGCCTGTCTCTGGGGACTGGGTACTCTACCTGCGGCTGAGGTGAGGTTCCCCTAAGTCCCTAGACCACCCCCAGGGGTGGTCAGTGTCCTGAGGCCAGAACGAGGTGGCCAGTGGCCTTCGTGTCTTCATGGCGCCCAGTTCCACCCTACTGCCAGTCCTTGCCCTCCTGCTCCTGGGAGCCTGGCCTTGGGGCTGTCCTGGGGCCTGGGCTGTGGTCCTGTGGGGGCCGGCCCTCCCCTGAGGACTCTCCAGAGTCTCCTCTGGGGCATGCCACTGGCCTCTGCGTCGGGCTCCTGGTGATGACATTGAGAAAGGGACAGCATCAGACGCTAGCGCCCACCTGACACCCCCTCACACCGCAGATGGGGTCTGGAAACTGTGGCTGGCCTGGACACTCAGGGCCTGCTACAGCCCAGCGCATTGGGCCGGGTAGGGCATGCTGCTCAGACAGAGCTTGCATTCAAGCTGGCCGGTCCCCAACTCTGGGAGAGCTTGGGGGTCCCTGCCACCTGCTCCTTCAGTTCTCAAAGCAGCCTAGGGAGGCCTGGGAACAGTCCCTGGCTTAGAGGGAAAATGAGCACAGAGGAACCGCAGCCCTTCAGTAACTAATCGTGGGTGAGGGCATGGTGAATCCCAGGCCTGGGGCCTCCTGCGATCTTTGCCCAGGGAGTGGGGGTGTCCTCTCAGCCTGGAGGCTCAGATGCAGGGCCTGGAATCCAAACTGCCCACTGCAAGAGGAGAAGTGGCCAGACTGAATTCGGCTTTACTCCTTATCAGCACTCAGCGTCCCAGCTTCCTCATCTGTAAAGTGGGGTCACAGTACCTGTCTCACAGCAAGGTTGCTAGCAGGATCAAATCATCTGCAATAGTTTTAAGACAAAGCCTTGCACTGTTAGCTGTGACTGTGCCAGGCACACTGTCACTCTAACAAGAACCAGCGGGACAAGAATATCTCGACGATGAGGAAGCTGAGGCTTGAGAAGTGCAAACACCACAGCTGGCTATGCAGGGCTGGGTCATGTCTGACTCCGAGGCCACACCTTTTCTGCAGCACCCACATCCTGGTACCTCACAGGCTAAGTAGACTGAGGAAGGCTGAGGATAGTCCCAGGACTTTGGGTGGAAGCAGTGGTGTTTCTGGAGAGTTCCCATGAGAATAGGAGTCCACCCTACTCCACTCTCCTCCCTCTTTGAAGACCTCTCCTGTGGCCCCTGCATGCCCTGGCCCCGCACTGTCTGTTCTGAGCCACAGTATTGCAACAGACAGAGGCTGAGCCACCAGACACAGCCTATGCAGGTGTCTGAAATGCCCCTTTAGTGCCCCAGCCTCCTCTGGTGCTCACCTCGGTGTGGGTGGCCTGGGGAGTCCCAGCGACTTGCGGATGTGCTCTCGGGAGCAGATGTCAGCCTGGAGGAGACAGACGTGCTGCTAGGTGCTGAGCTGGCCTGTGGACCAGTTTCCCACCAGGAGCTGCTGGTGGCAATGCCTCCATCCCCCATAGAAGTCCATTCAGGACACACAGGTCACAGCCAGCTTTTCAGGCTCAGGAGCAGCGGCCCTGTTGGCAAGTGTGTGACAGGCATGCCTGGAACTTTGGGGTCAAAGCCCTGCAATGGCAGCTCTCACACCGAGCTGGGCAGTCCCTGACGGGCCTGAGTAGCTGGTGAGTGGATAGGCTGAGCAAGCGGGTCCTGGGTCTCCTCCCCACCAGTGGCAGTTGGAGCTGCTCAGCCTTCACTGGTTTCCAGCCTGTGCTTCCCTGTAGGTTGTGTGCAAGCCGAGGCTTCCCTGCTAACACTTGCTTCTCTGGGGACTCCGAGCCCAGCTGGTCTGTCCCCTCCCTGACGAGATCAGCAGTAACCCCTGTCGTACCTCCAGGATCACCAGGACAAGAGAGGGCGGTGGGCCACAGGCTGGGATGACGGCAGACCCCAGCAGGGTCTCACAGCAAGGTTGCTAGCAGGATCTAGCAACCTGAACAGGGCTCAGGTCTGAGTGGGAACTCCTGAGGGCATGGGGGGTCTGGCCCTGGGAAGTCCCCCTGATCCCAGCTCAGATGGGCTTAGATTAACTTCAGGGCTGCACGACTCATGGACAGCAAGGGCTAATCCCCCAGCCTGCTCCTGCTTCTATTCATGAGGGAAGAGGGGCAGCGGTAGGCGGGGCCAGCACCTCTCACCTTGCCCTGGAGCAGCCCAGCCTGGCCTGGCAGGAGAGCCTGGACCTGGCAACCAGGAGCACAGCAGCGCCTGTGACCACGGGGCCACCAAGACGGCTCGGGGAGGAGCCAGGGAGAGAGCAGACCAACACTAACCCTGTCTGTGCTCTCCCAGAACCTTCTGGAACAGAGTCAGGAGGGGAGCCTGTTGAGAGGCGAGTGACCTCAGGAAGGAAACGGACCCAGAGACAGAGCCAGCCCTGCAGGACTCGACCGTCGGCTCACGCCCAGCAGTGAGAAGCTGCGGGCTCCTGGTGCGGAACAGCTGCATATCCCATCTGGCTGCGGCTTTCCTTCCTCTGGAGGGGGGGCCCAGGATTTGGCAGGCTCTTCGCCAGTGCTAGGCACAGATGCTTGTTCTGTTTCTAGATGCTCAAGGTACTCACAGGCCAGGGGTCCCCTCCCTTGCAAGGACGGGCCACTGTCCTACTCTGGGGCGTGCTGAGGTGGGAAAAGGTCTAGGAGCTCTAGGAACTGTGTTGTCTGCAGCAGCACGACCTAAGTTCCTGGGGCTGAAGGCCTGGGAGACAGTTTCCTGGGTTCTCTCTCGGAAGACCACACGGCTGAGCTGGAATGGAGGAAGAAAGGCCTCTTTCCTGGGAGCTGGGGACACACAGCTCACGGGCTTGAGAGTCCACACACCTGTGCCCTGAGCAAAGCCCTGCAAGGCTGCGGAGCCCGCTCTCAGATGCCACCACTAGGCACAGCTCCCCAGGGCGACGGCCACTGTGGTATGCGGGCTGCTGCTGCCCCCTGGAGGCCACACTGCGCGCCAGCAGCCGGAAGGCACCGGCCCCATGGTGGTGGCCTGGGGGTTTTCCACTGGTGCTGCCGCTGCCCCAGCACAGTGCGGGGCAAGCAGTGGGGGTAAGACGGGGAAGCGGCAGACACCAGGGAGGCTCCAGAGCTGGGCTGCTGGAAGTGGCGCGGCTTGTGCAGACCCGCGTCCCAACCTCCACCCCACAGCCTCCACAGCACGCACAGCGGCCACCTAAAAAGGCCAACCTGCGGGCATCCCGCTGCCAACTCAGCCATCCAAGTCCCTGTGAGTGACGTCTGACACCCTGGAGCACCCCAAGATGCTCACGGGCTCCCACCCACTCTGTACTTCACTGCCCTGGCTCCAGCCACACCTTCCTGCTGTTTCTTTTTGTTTTTTTGGAAAGTTTTTTTGAGATAAGGCCTTGCTCTGTCACCCAGGCTGGAGTGCAGTGGCCCAGTCACGGCACACTGCAGCCTCAACCTCCTGGGCTCAGGTGATCCCTCCCGCCTCAGCCTCCTGAGTAGCAGAGACTACAGGCGCGTACCACCACACTTGGTTAATTTGGTTTTACATTTTTTTTGTAGAGACGGGGTCTCACTATGTGGCCTAGGGTGCCCTCAAACTCCTGGGCTCAAGTGATCCTCCCACCTCTGTCTCCCAAAGTGTTGGGGTTACAGGTGTGAGCCACCCTCCAGGCCCCCTGTTTCTTGAGCACATCAAACTCCTTCCTGCCCAGGACGGCCCTTCCCCTAGCAGGTCTCTTCTAAGACTGACTTTTCTTGAACCCTCACTCTGTGGGCTTCTCTGGGACAGGATCCACCCATGTCTTGTGGTCCCCTGGTCCTATCGAGGCTGGCTGTGGGCATCTCGTGCCAGCTGTCTCTCCCCTGGCCCGCAGGCTGAGTCCTTTCTCAGCTGAGCTGACCGTTTCAGCAGAGTTCTCACCCTTCCCGGGGGACCGAACAGCAGTTCTGGTGCTGGGTTCTGGTGCGGGCATACCCGAGGCCCCAGACCAGCATCTCTGAGGCCTGCACAGCTTTCCTGCAGAAGCCTCCCGGCTCAAGTTCAGCTGCTCCCTCTGGGACCTGAGGGGCTGGCTGGGAATTGGCAGGACACCTCACCACCGGAGCTAACATCACTGATTCTCCAAGCTGGCCTGTATCTGGGTGCAGGAGGCTCAGAGAGGCTGGGAGGCTGAGCGCATGGGGCACAGGGCCTGGGGATGAACTCTTGGGAGCCCTGCACCCTCCGGTCTACTGTTCTGACTGCAGGGCCCGGCGCAGGCCAACCAAGCTCTCCAGCAAGGTGTCTGTGACCTGTCCTTGGCCCAGGAACCCCTGTCCTCACGTCACTGCACTCTGACCCCAGCTGAGCTGCTGGCGAGCCCTGAACAGCAGGTGGTAGGAAGCAGAGGTGCCTGTGCTGCCTCCCCGCATCCCCGGCCCACCTACCTGGCGCACGGGCTCTGGGATCCGGAACCTGCAGCAGCAGCAAGTCAGGCGCACAGCTGCCTCCAGGCTCATCTTGTGGCCCACGGAGATGTAGAGGGGCCTGGTGCTGCGATCGTGGCTCCTCAGGGCCTGTGACAAGGAAGGTGAGGGCTGTCCTGTGGGCTGGGCCACTGGGACCAGGGTCAGGACAGCCTCAGCGGTTGGAGCTCTGACAAAATGTCCTGGGGGCAGGAGGGAAGGTGAAGGGGGCAGTGCTCTCAGGGCCAGGGCCTGCCCATCCTCAGGGCACCTTCCTACTGCTTGTCCCTGGGGCAGGGTGGGCTCCCTCAGCACAGCTGGAGGAAATAAACACAGATATCACACCCCGGGCTCAGTCAGAGGCAGGAGGATGGACGGACGGGCAGGCGGGGGGTTGATGTGGGTAAGTGTGAGGGCACGCGTGTCTGCATGCACCTGTGTCTGCCTGCAAACGATCCCCTACCCCGGGGCTTTGGAGGGGCTCAGGGTCCTGGCCACTCACCATTCCCAGGACAGTCCCAGAGTCTCCCAGCAGAGGGAACGAGTCTCCTCGAGTCTGCAGGAGTCGGATCTGGAAAATGGGAGAAAAAAAAAATGGGGAAAAAAATCCTCTTTTCCTGATGACGGGCTGAAGGCAAGTCTCTTTATTTTATTTTTTGAGACGGAGTCTCGCACTGTTGCCAGGCTGGAGTGCAGTGGCGCGATCCTCGCTCACTGCAAGCTCTGCCTCCTGGGTTCAAGCAATTCTCCTGCCTCAGCCTCCCGAGTAGCTGGGACTACAGGCGCCCATCACCACGCCCGGCTAATTTTTTGTATTTTTAGTAGAGACGGGGTTCCACCGTGTTAGACAGGATGGTCTCGATCTCCTGATCTCGTGATCCACCCACCTCAGCCTCCCAAAGTGCTGGGATTACAGGCGTGAGCCACCGTGACAGGCCCAAGTCTCTTTATTTAAAAAACCCAGTCACTGGGCCAGGACAGGGAAGGGGACTGATTTTGGAGGTGAGCTGCGGCCCAGGCAAAGCTGCACCACCTGAGATGCCACTGAGCGTGCAGGCGGTGACGTCGTCTCGCCCAAGCTGAGAGTGCTGCCCAAAAGACCCTGTCCAAACCTGATGACGCGGCTTACAACAAGGGCAGCAATCTGCCCAGGGCCACTGTGCCAGGCTGGCAGCCACACAGGTGCCGCCGCTGCCCAGTGACCGGTGCTGAGCCCGCTTCCTTCCTGTGGCTTGTCTCCTGCTTTGGGCACATCTGACTCAGCTCAACAGGCTGGTATTTCTGGAGGCAGTGGACTGGCTCACTGAGTGGGTCTAAGGTCCCCATCAACTCAACAGATTTTTATTAAGCAACTGCTCCATGCAGGCACCTGAGAGCTGGGAGGAATGAGAGATGCAGTCTCTGTTCAGAATCTGCCATCCAGTCAAACAGCTGGGGGTGTCACCAGCTCCCTCCACTGCGAGTGTCTCACTCCCCGTGCCAACATGGGGTCCCAGAGGAGAGTGTCTCACTCCCAGTGCCAACATGGGGTCCCAGAGGAGGACGGTGCAGGGGAAGGTGGGGTAGGAAGAGTGTGGGTGGCAGCTCCAGGCAGGCCTTGGTGGGAGGGGGGCCTGGAGGCTGGTGTACCTGAGCACGCAGGGGAGGAGACGGGGTCTGGGGCGAGGTGGGGTGGGAAAAGCACCAAGTGCACCCGGGACAG